TGCAGCTGATGAGGTGACGAACAGCGCTCAAAAACACACCAAGAGAAAATAAAGTGCCCGTTGTGTGCAGCCTGAACTAACGCTGGGACCGCTTTGCTGAGAAAAAACACAGGTTTTGATCAACGTGAATTCTTACTGAAGTGAAATGCCCTGCGCACCGTTATCCGATACCGATTACACGGCTGTAATGACCGAGTTCAGGCGCTGCGCCTGGCCCGGTGGGGGGCAGAGCCACCCGTGGCTCAGGCCTCGGTCCCCTCCCTTCAGAGCCGGGAGCGCCCCGCAAAGCCGAGCGGGCAGGGTCAGTGCCGTTTTGGGAAATACTCCCCAAAACAGCATCTGTGCTTCTCACCTGCCAAACGCACCTCCAGTACCGCCGCACCGAGACAGGATGGGATGACACAGCGACCATTACATGGTCTCCCTGGGAAGTGTGCTCACCAAGGGGATAATTAACGTGCTCCTAATTGCTCCCGCTCCCTCTGGTGCTGTAAGGGTATTTTCTACACCTTCGATGCCAGAGGTTGCACAAGCAACACGGGACAGAAAGAGAACAACAACAAAAAGACCCCCAGTGGGTTTAAATTGTGTTAATTTAAGAGCAACATAAAGCTGTTGCTTGCAGCTGGTCTGCACCAGGCGGGGCAGGGAACAGAAACAGCAAACGCTGGATCAGCTGTGCAGAGGCCTCCTACTTGGCCTTGCCATCCCTGTGTATGCTTTCAACCACTCATATCATACTTGCATCTGCATGGCCCACGTTCCCACCTTGTCTCCTTCATTTACCAGCATGCAGAGCTTGCAAGATCACTCAGTCCCACTTTCTCCGCAGAAATCCACAAATTGGGAGACCTCCTGTGCCAACTGCTAGTAGTCACAGACGGAAAAGGGAACAGTGGAAAAACCCCACGTGGTTCATTTTGATGGGTTTCGAACTTACATTTCTCCACTTCTCATTGTGACAAGATTCTCCAAGCTTTGCCTAATAGTAAAACAGCCATGAGGACCAAAAGGCTGTTCCTTGTAAAAGTATCCCTTCCCCTTTCAGGTTTCTGCATAACCAAGAAAAGCTTAAATATCTATGTGTGTGGCTATGTAAATATGGACTCTATTTATTTACTGACACAATATATACACAGTTTTTCACCGGTCCTCAGCAATTCCCATGCTTTGTGCTGAGCAGCAACCCAAGCCGGCAGCCGCCTGTGGGCTGGCATGAGCCCCGCAGCTGTGGGACACCTCACACTTTTCCAGCCGAACGGTCTTGGGTGATCCCCACAAGCACTGCTGCTGCTGTTGTGGTTACAAGCTGCAGGTTTCTGTTTACTGAGAAACAATCTCTAATTCCTCCCACCAGGATCTTCACTGCAAACCGAGATATTTGTTATTAGCCCTTGGACATTTTCTAAGGCCGTCCGCTATTTACAGTAAGAGACTGAACTCCACTGCCTTCCCAGCCTCATTTGTTCTTGACATCCCGGTGCCAGGAACGAGCAGCAGGACAAGGCTGTAGGACACAGCACTGCAGGGAATCCCAGCCCACAGAGAGCCCTGGCATCATGCTGATGATGATGATGCACAAATTCAGTGTGCTGGGGCACCCTGTTCTTGGGGCTGGGACCCAGGTGGCTGAGGGTCCCTGCCAGACCTGGCAATGGGGCCAGAAGTCAGACCTAGCACCCTGCAGCCCAGAAGTGGCACCAAAAAGGTTTTCCACTTCCTCCATCCATCCCGGGCCCTGTTGATTTGGGTTGCTTCAGTGTGGTGAGCAGCATGTCCCACTCCTTGACACAGCCCCAAGCATTTAATGGCTCTGCTGTTTTTAGGGAAGGCCCAAATCGCATTTCCCCTCCCTGCTCCAGCACCTGCAGCTCTGCTGGTGGCCATTGTCCCTTGCATCCGCTTCCTCACTCCCTGGACAGCTGCAGCCCTCCCCAGCACTCTGCCTCTGCCCCGAGTGCCCACCTACTGCTGAGATGGCTTACTCACCCGCTTCAACTTTTGTGCACTCCCCGTGGTGGTCAGGAGGAAAAATACTTTTTTTTAATCCCTCTGCTGAGTGTGGTAGATGGGTTTTGCCTTGCTCTGCCGCATTTTGGTCACCACGGGGCTCGCGGCAGCAGGCACAGCATGGAGAAGCCCCAATTTCCGTCTGGGAGCTGCTCCTGCGTGGTGGAGGGACAAGGCAGCTCCTGTCTGTCCCACTGGACTTCTCTCCCTCCTCTGATGCCAGGGGCCGCAGCCGTGGCTGGCCACAGCTCCTCACCAGAGACCACTGCGTAGGCTTTGAAGTTGGGTGGCAGTGGACCCTGTGGGTAGATTTTAGGCGAGGTGACACCACAGCCTGGTCTGAAGTGCAGATAGCTCCAGGGTGGTGTGGAGGCCCCTTGTCTGGAAGCTTGCTTTGCTCTGGGGCCCAAGCACCACACTGGGGCCAGCAAGGCCATCCCCAACAGTGTCCCTCTCATCTGTCCCCCACCTCCAGGCATTATCCTGGCAAAAGCACACAGATGTCTGTGGCCTCCCTGCCTCCATCAGCCTCATCCCATGCCAGACCCATCCTGGAAAGAGGAACTAACCAGCAAAAATAGGAGAAGTGAGCCCCTCCCTATGGAAAGAGTCACAGCTTTCACAGCAGAGGCTGCTTTAACTGTGTATTCCCCAAAACAGGCAGCAGCTGCCCTGTGCCACTGAAAGCCAGGCGCAGCCAGGCACCGGCACCCCTGGGCAGAGCTGGCTCAGTCCCACGGGGACCAGCATCCTGAGGTCCAGCACTCCTGAGCAAGAGGCGCTTTTCCCAGCTGGAAGGAGGACAGGTATGGGATAGAGGTGGCTGCAGAGGGCCCGAATGCAGAGGTTGATATGGGGGAACACCTGTGCCATAGGCTGGCCTCCATGGGGGAAACCTCCAAACCCACCAGTGCCTCCCCCAGGACCTCGAGCAGCCTCTGCTCTGAAAGGAGGGACTAGCATTGCGCTGTCCCCCACACCAAAACCACACTGCACCACCTCCCCACTTCCTTACCTCGCCTCTGCCGCAGAGGAAAGCCTTGGAGTCAGCAGCACAGCCCACGCGACCGGGGCCAGATCTCACCATCACGTGGGCTGTGGGGCCAGGGACAGGTCCCACACATGGCACAAAGGAGCCAGGGTCACCCAGCACTGGCCAAGGGGGACACACACAGTGAAGGACTGAAGGAGAGATTTCTCCCTGCCTCATCCCCAGCAGAGCAGCTCCCATGGGGAGAGAGAGCTTTCGCAACAGGGAGGCACTGAGCTCCCAGCACCCTCTACTTTCTGCTCCCCACCTGCTTGTCTCAGCCCCAGTCAGCCATTTCTCACATTCGTCAATTCTCACTTCTCCTTTCCCTTTTGTTAATTCAACCCCCTAAAGGAGGAACCACCCAGCAGCTGCACTCCCAGCCAGCTCATTTCCCCAGCTCCCACCTCACCCCTCGGACGCCTGAGGAGGCCCTGCGCCGGTTTGGCCATGGGGAGGCTGCGACTGGGGGTCCTGCTCGCCTGGGTGTCCATGGCTTGGGTGAGGGGGGCTGAGCTGCCCCAGGAGCCATCCTCCTTTGCGGGGTTTCTGCAGTGCAAGAAGGCTCTGAACCTCCCAAGCCTAGAAGTCCTGCCAGGGGGGGGATGGGATAACCTCAGGAATTTGGATATGGGTAGAGTCATCAACCTGGGCTACTTGCTGTGCAGGACCACAGAAGATGGATCTTATATCATCCCAGATGAGGTCTTCACTATCCCTCGCAAGCAGAGCAACCTGGACATCAACTCCGAGATCATCGAGTCGTGGAAAGATTATCAAAGCATCACTGCTGCCTCCATCAACCTGGAGCTGTCCCTCTTCTCTTCCATCAATGGCAAGTTCTCCTACGACTTCCACCGGACCAAGACCCACCAAGTGAAAGACCACGCTGTCACCACCCGTGTGCAAGTCAGGAACCTAGTTTACACTGCCAAGCTTGACCCAGGGGCAGCCCTGGACACGGGGTTCAAGAAGCAGCTGATGATGATTGCCAGCCACCTGGAGAACAACCAGACGCGGATGGCTGATTTTCTGGCTGAGGTGCTGGTGCTTAACTATGGCACCCACACCATCACCTCCGTGGATGCTGGAGCCAGCTTGGTGCAGGAGGACCAGATCAAGGCAACCTTCCTGAAGGACAGCGGGGCCACACGGAGCACTGTCACCGCCTCAGCCGGCATGGCCTTCCACGGCATCATCAGTGTGAAAAACGAGGAGTCCCTGGACGTCAGCTTGGGCTTCACCAAGCAGTATCTGGAGAACCGCACCAACTCCAGGGTAGAAAGCATCGGTGGAACCCCCTTTTACCCAGGCATCACCCTCAAGACCTGGCAGGAGGGAACCAGAAACCAGCTGGTGGCTCTTGACCGCTCAGGGCTGCCCCTGTACTTCTTCATCAGCCCCAGCACCCTGCCAGAGCTGCCCACCCCCATGGTGAAGAGGCTGGCCAGGCGAGTGGAGATGGCTATCCGCCGCTACTACACCTTCAACACCTACCCAGGTTGCACCGATGCCACCTCACCCAACTTCAACTTCCACGCCAATGCCGACGATGGCTCCTGCGAGGGCGCCATGACCAACTTCACCTTCGGAGGAGTCTTCCAGGAGTGCACTGGGCTGGCTGGCCCTGACACCAACACGCTGTGCCAGGGGCTGGAGCAGAAGAACCCCCTCACCGGGGCTTTCTCCTGCCCCACCACCTACACTCCAGTGCTGCTGGGCGTGCAGGAGCGGGACGAAGGCCACAGCCACCTGGAGTGCCACAAGAAGTGCATCCTGGGCATCTTCTGCCACCGTGAGTGCCACGACATCTTCTGGCTCTCCCGAGTGCAGTTCAGTGCCTACTGGTGTGCTGCGAGCGGGCCAGTGGCCCCAGGCTCAGGGTTCCTCTTTGGGGGGCTGTTCAGTGCCCACAGCACCAACTCCATCACTGGTGCCCAGTCCTGCCCCTCGGGGTACTTCCCACTGAAGCTCTTCGATGAGCTCAGGGTCTGCGTCAGCCAGGGAGGGGGGTGGCCGGTACGCGGTGCCCTTCGGGGGCTTCTTCAGCTGCCAGGCAGGAAACCCCTTGGCAGGGCAGCACCAGGGCACGGCCGAGGACCCTCATGCCAAGAGTTGCCCCCCTGGCTTCAGCCAGCACTTGGCGCTCATCAGCGATAGCTGCCAGGTGGAGTACTGCGTCCAGGCTGGCGTCTTCACCGGGGGCTCACTGCCACCTGCCCGCCTGCCACCCTTCACCCGGGCCCCCACCAACCTGCCGAGCATTGACACCGTGCTGGTGAGCAGCGGGGACGGGGACAGCACCTGGGTCAGGGATGGGCAGAGCCATG